TACGATCTAAATACCCTCAGTGGCAAAATCGTAAATATTGTGAAGTGGGATTTTGGTTAAAAGACGGAATTGCCCCCGTCTCTCACACACTCTCTCTCTCTCCCGCGCGCGTCTCTCCCTCTGGTTTTCGCGACAGCCACTGTGGCCGGCCACGTTTTGGCCGGCCGTGCTCTCGTCCGGCCACCAAAGTCGACGGGGCCGGTACCAAAATGACCGGGCCGCCGTCCTCTTCCTACCCCAGCCGGGTCTCACCGCCAGCCGCCGGGATTTCGCCGGAAAATCGAAGAAAACAGCCCGGTTTCGCCTGAAACTTCGCCGGCTTCGTTCTCCGTCGTCCGGCCACCGATTCCGGCAAGTGAGGTATGGTTTCTCACCTATTTTCCGAGCTCTAGCTGATGGTTGGGTAGGATTTCATAAATTTTGAGGCTAAGTAGCTCGATCGACGGATTGAAATTCGGCCGGTTTTGCGATCGCGATTCCGGCCACTTCCGGTCAATTTTTGGGGTAAGCCCAAGAACAAAAGTGACTCCAAATTAGGTGTTTTACCAAGGGTAGGAGTCTTGAGCCGTGATCTGTGGTTTTTCCGGCGATGCGATATCGCTTTGGACACCCACGCGCTGCCGGCGCGTGGGCACTGTAGCTGAGGGGCATTTTTGTCCCAATGTGATCCTCAGGTTGTCATGAGCGCGTAGGTGTGCTCGGATCTCAATTTGGATATTGTTAGAGTCCCGAACGGATATCGCATATCGCGTATTTTCCGGGTTCGCTGGGTTTGGACCGTTGGATGGTCTTGATATTATAATATGTTGATCTAGGTATTACCAAGATCGTGTAGGACTCGACGGATCGTAAAACGGAGTCCCGGATACTCCGGAAATGCCAACCCTGGGGTTAGGGTTTTAATAACCGTCCGATCGTGTGATCGTGAGCGATCCGACCGTCCGATCTGGACCAAACTTGCAGGACATGTGTCCTAGAGCCTATAGAACCTATAGGAACTTTCGGATCGGAATTTGGAGGTTGTGGGCCCTGCAGGCCCGTTTGACCCTAGGTTGACTGTGAGACCTTTGGGATAGTTCTACCTTCCCAGGAGGGTTAGAATGACCATAGAGACAGGTCCTGATGTTATGGGGATTATGGGGAATTATCGGATGCTAGTTGTTTACTAAGGTGTTTATATTATTAGAAATTAATGTATAAAAAGTATGTATGGATTTTATGATTGAATGTTAGTTTGCAGTGCTATATGCACTACCCTATGTACCTCCTCGGATGTTGACAGACCCCGTACGTGGCCGGGTGCGTCCCGACGTATGAGTGGGAGTTATGGTTGTGTGAGGGCTGGTGAGAATGTAGCCAGGCCCAGTGTGAGGTCGCACGCGTCTTTGGGTTAGCCGGCGTGTTGACAGACCCCGTACGTGGCCGGGTGCGTCCCGACGTATGAGTGGGAGTTATGGTTGTGTGAGGGCTGGTGAGAATGTAGCCAGGCCCAGTGTGAGGTCGCACGCGTCTTTGGATTAGCCGGCGTGTTGACAGACCCCGTACGTGGCCGGGTACGTCCCGACGTATGAGTGGGAGATATGATGGTATGATGGCTGGTGAGAATGTAGCCAGGCCCAGTGTGAGGTCGCACGCGTCTTTGGGTTAGCCGGCGCGTTGACAGACCCCGTACGTGGCCGGGTGCGTCCCGACGTATGAGTGGGAGTTATGGTTGTGTGAGGGCTGGTGAGAATGTAGCCAGGCCCAGTGTGAGGTCGCACGCGTCTTTGGGTTAGCCGGCGTGTTGACAGACCCCGTACGTGGCCGGGTGCGTCCCGACGTATGAGTGGGAGATATGATGGTATGATGGCTGGTGAGAATGTAGCCAGGCCCAGTGTGAGGTCGCACGCGTCTTTGGGTTAGCCGGCGTGTTGACAGACCCCGTACGTGGCCGGGTGCGTCCCGACGTATGAGTGGGAGATATGATGGTATGATGGCTGGTGAGAATGTAACCAGGCCCAGTGTGAGGTCGCACGCGTCTTTGGGTTAGCCGGCGTGTTGACAGACCCCGTACGTGGCCGGGTGCGTCCCGACGTATGAGTGGGAGATATGATGGTGTGAGGGCTGGTGAGAATGTAGCCAGGCCCAGTGTGAGGTAGCACGCGTCTTTGGGTTAGCCGGCGTGTTGACAGACCCCGTACGTGGCCGGGTGCGTCCCGACGTATGAGTGGAGCTATGTGATTGTGTTTGGTGTTGTGATGGATAAACCCGAGAATGTATGAATTTATATGGATGTAATGGTTTAATTGATATTAGGAGTCAGGATTGATAGGAAAGAGCTACGTGTGGCTTGATCCCTTAGTAGGGTACGTAGGCAGCCTGGGATAGCGCCTAGGTGCAGCCACGACTTAGACACCACTTAGGTGGTTTTATCGTGTATGATGCGGACCTCGTGGTTGGTCCCGAAACTTGGTTGAATTGAGGCTTGTCCGGTGGACTGAGTAAGTGAAGGTGGGTATGGATGGATTTTGAATTGGTTATGTGCATGTGTGATGCATTAAGTTATTTTGAAAACTGTGTGGGCAATCTGCTAGAATCATTTGAAGGCCGGAGGCCATCTATGTAAACTGCATGAGATTATATTGTGCGTGCTGCTGGTTGGGTTATAAAATGAGTTTTATGCAGGTGGAACTTTTGGGGAATATTCAATTTACAGGGGAGACTCTGCCGAATTTTCGGCAGAAAGTCTCGTGCCCTTAATCCTCTATGGTGAACGAGGACGTAGATTTAAGGAGTAAACCCGGCGTGGGTGTGATGCCGGGGTCTCCGCAGGATTCGTCTCGGGTTCCGGGAAATTCGGGACGGGTCCTGTCAATTGCTCATATTCCTAAATAGATCTAGGTGCTTCTTGAGCTTAGTTGTGTTTCCTTTGTAAGAATCTTTTTCTACTTAGTAGAGTGCCTGGTCGGTTGATGACTCCTAGTTTTTCCCAATGATGGGTTTTTGGGTGAACAAAATCTGTTTTGCATATCTGTAATTTTTCTGGGTTTGTGTTCTTGGTGGTTGACTAGTCATCTTTATATATTGTTTGATGTTTATATGATGATTTCACACACTTTCACCATAGTTGTTGCTAGTACAGGAGATGCCTAGATTGACGGGTCCTTCTGAGTGCCTAGGTTGTCACTAGTAATCTTCTAGGGTTGCAGGTACTTTGTGGCATGCTCTGTGTGTTCTCTTGATTGTGGTTGTTCATGACTAGCAGTTGACTAGTCATATGTGTATTTGGTCAAGGTTTAAAGTGTGTGAAGATTGCTGTGTTGTTGTGTCTTGTTTGTGTGATTAAATTTACCCCTCGTCACCTAAGTACCAATTTCAAAAGTGCTTTCATAGACTTCCATTATGATAATGGCATATACTGTAAATTCCTTAAAAATTATGGACATACTAATTGCTTACTTGGTTAGACTTGACTGCAATTGAAAAGAGAGAACATGTGGACTGCATTGATTACATCTTGATGAAAATAGACCTATATCTAAGAAGTCCTTTTTCTTTTTAGTACAAGCGATTGGGGAAGTGGGTTTACACAAATATTCATTGGCAACATGGGGGTTTCGAACCTCTGCCCATATGAGTGGAGGTGAAAGAGCTCAACCAACTTAGCTATACCCTACCAATAATGCATAGTTAAGTCAACAAGAAGTCCACCACTATGTTTTCTTATGTACCCCATGGAAATAAATAGTGATCGTCCAATTGAAATTCATTTGGCATAGAAAACGGATCCAATACAATTAAGTCTACCGCAAGTCTACCACCATCACCATGCTTATTTCAGATAGGCACTCACGCACCAGCTTTTCGAATGAAAATTTCCATGTAAACAGATTCAACAGAAAATAGAAACTTTAGTACAAAAGGACGTCGTACTTGTCAATTTATGGGAATTTTCTTCCCACCTTGGAAAAGTAGTGCAGGTTCAAATCCATTTCTGATCTATATATTGTTTTATAATTAGTCTCCCTCCTTTGTAGGCTCTATATCTTACTAAGAAGTAGTCAAGGTAGCTCTCAGTGAAAAATAAAATCATACGATAATAGTTGCATTAATCATCAAAAATATTGTTTACATCTGTTGTTAATGAGAACAGCCAAAAAGGTGGCCATTCAGCCCACTCACATAACACCGCTGAATTTACTTGCATGGGATGATACCAAATGAGGGGAGGAGATTTTTGATACATAAACTACCAAATAAGGGTATTATTAGGGTTTGAACATGAGGTCACTAGTTTACAAGGTCAATGCCATTTTTCCGTTGACACAATTGTGAAACAATATAACCACTTGTTATGTTCTTTATGTAGATGATTGGTTAATTGGATTCTTATTGATTTGAATGTATGGTTAATTGTATAGTATAACAATCTTTAAGAATAAACCAAAGTTAGAGCAGACTTATAACTTGTTGTCCCTAGCTAGTGCTGGGCACTTGAAAACGATTATTTTGAGCAGAAAATTAAGCATGGAAGTTTTCGCTGTAATAATGGGTGATGTAATAGCTAATAATTACCAGCTTGGTGACCAAGACGGTGCCGTGGCCGCGGGCTTCGGGGGTTGGATCTGGTGTTGCAGTTCGGTTGTGTCCTTGACAGATTTGGAGCTTGGGCCTCATCAGATATGTGTCGCAGAGAGAGAGGGAGAGAGAGAGAGAGGATGCATAGACGACCTATCCCAGCCCAACCATCAGCATTTAACGCCTCCTCTGATGGTCTGATTAACGGAGAATCTAATTTGTAATTTTTCCGTTAGTTCAAATATCTACGTGCAATATTTTCAAAAATTAGTTAGTTTTGTATAGTTATACCATCAGTCTATACAATAATTACTGTCTTTTTATTTTTCCAAGGGACCTAATATTCTCAAAGAGAGCCTGTGCCTTTAGCTATGTTATACACAGACAACAGCTTTGTTTTCATCGCACATGGATGTGCAACTATATCTATAGCCTATGCATGCTCAGAGGCAACCTCCAGAGGCAAATCCAAGCTTCCCTTTAGCAACGTCATACACCACCTCCAATTTCAGCTGCTGAACATTCCCAAATACGGCAATGTCACTGTCATTCTCATTTGCACTAAAAGCCAAACAAGCTTGGGAAGCAGTCACCGGATATATTATGCCAGTACCATCCAAATCCAACGTCAATCCACCCTTAAAAGAAATTGCTATTTTCGGAATATTAACTGTCCCATAACTACTAAAGTCATAGCATGTATCCAATATTGAAAATGCCGGAGCTCTCGGGTAGCTTTTCATCCCTTGCTGAAATGCATGCCGCAAAGCGCTGTACGCCTGTGGTGGCAGCCGTGTTATGACCGTACCCGAGTCAATTATTGTCCCGGAAGTTTTAAAAACTGAAGTTGAAATGGGTAACTTACGTCCGCCCACAGTTATACCAACCAGGTTAATGCCATATAACGATGAGTACTCCTTTTGTGGGAGGGTGGCGAGCGGCGTGTACTTCACTCCCTTGGAAGCTCGGCGGCTTTTCTCTTTGCCAAAGCTAAGGAAACCGGTGGAGCTTGAGGTGGAGGGTAGACAATAGGAGAAAAAGCGGCCGTATTTGGCCGCAGTTTGTTCCACAAAGGAAATACTGTCGCGACCAAGGCCAAGCAACCCCGCAGAGCCACGAAAGAGGCCTTGGTTGTTTTCGCCGCAGCCAAAGAGGAACCCGTTGAACACATCCGTCGAAGTTAAAGTAATGGTTTCTTTGGCGAAGAATCCGGCGGAGATGGAGCCGTCTCCGTATGCTGCGGCGTATACGCATGTGGATGTTGCACAACTGGGTGCACAGCCCGTACCAGATTTGAGTTTAGAGCACTCCATAGAAGTGCAAGACACGTTAGCATATGAACTGGAGACTGAAGGGTCAAAGATGGGGTCCACTTGTTTGTAGCAAGGCCTAACGCAGGGCCGACATTGAGTCCAAGTGAGGTCGCTTCCTGTGTCAAATGTGACTGAAAGTTGTTTCTTAGGTGTGCCTAGGCCCACCGTCACAATGTAGTTGCCCCCACCCACTGTACTCCCGGACAAGGCCGGGACAGTGACGCCGTCCCACTGTCTTTGGCCACGGCGGTCAATTGCTTTCTTGGGATTACGCCGAGAGTGGATTGAATTCACTCGGGCTTGGTCTTGCTCGAGGATTTCAGTGTGAGTGGGAGCATTTTCTTTGTGTGATTGGTAGAAGTGGGAGCAAGGGCCATGCTTGTGTACCACTTTAAGTACTGATGCCTTCTTGTCATGACCTGAATTGAAATAGGTATATTAGTGTACCTACAAATGTAAGTACACCTATGTACTTTGTACCTACCTATGTATTAATACAAAAAACTGTGTCTAAGCTAATCAAAATACCAAAATCAGAATTAATATATGTTACGTACCAAACTTTAATGAGAAGAAAAAAAACCTTCTTACGAACGGATATCAATCTAATCTATATAATTGAAAGAAACATACCACACCAACTCAAGAAACGACAACATACACATAGAGAGAAAGTCACACGAATGGCCAAGTATTTGTGTCCAAATTTATATAAGCACACTGTTGGTGCTCCTTCATGAATAATTCCAATACAAACTCTATATATGAACAAAATTATCTATGCCTATTGAACTTTTTGTTAGTAGTGTGGATGTAAGAGTTATGCGATCAACCTTCGGTGGAGGGGCTGCAAGTGGTTGCTGGTAGCAGAGACTTGACTTGAACTGTATGACTATATTCAAGACCAAGGTGGCTTTTTACATCTCTTTCTTCCAAGGTAAAGCATGTCTCCAAAGAGCAGAGAATTAGGCAGACAAGTACAAGGAAACGAATGAAATACCAGAGGAAGGAGGAGCTAGAAATATTGGGAGTTTCCATGACTGAAATTAAGCCTTCTCTCAAAATTAAGTTAATTCATGAATTAAGCATACTCTTAGCTTTATAAGGTAATTGGAGATAGCCTTCAGGTTGTCTAACGTCACCCATTATAGCGCAGTGGGGACAGTGAGAAATTTCGATGCTGTTTCTGCTCAAAAGTATTAGGTCTCAAGTTCAATTGATTGTACGCCTATGCACCCACCCAATCCCACCAAGCTCACAATACACTAGTCTAGTCAGTAATAATGAACGTACTCAACAAGTTTTTCGTTCTTTAAGAACATGATATCGTGTTAGATTGTTTGGCAACAACATGATACATTCCCACTTCGTACTGTTTTGAATATAGGATCTCATTGCGAATTCTAATTAAGCATTGAATGACAAATATAATATTATAGGCTTCTTCGTGTGTGACTTCTTCTTTTTTCCTCCTTTCAGACAACAGCGCGACGCCGATTCTCACCCATTCACAATAAATTTTAGGTTTCATGATCTAAATTTTTAACCTGGTATTAGAGCAGTAATTCATTTGCCAGATCCAACCACCACATATGCTCCCCTTAATATGCATTGACTAACATATTTGGTTCAGTCTTTACCGTATGTTAAGTGGGCATAATGAGAATGTATAATTTACATTCTTGGTAGCAAGTAATTAGCAGATAATTTTTAGTTTAGAGCATCTACAGTGGGAGAGTGTATATGGGGGTGTATGTTAAATATACACCCCGAGTCACCGAAATCGTCTCCAATGGGGAGATGTAAATGGATGTAAATATACATCACCACCATGGGGATATAAAATAAAATGTATATTTACATCTATTTTTAAATCTCTTGCACGTGGGACCCACCCGAGAAAAGAAGAGGAAAAGTGGAGAAAAGTCATCATAAAAGAGTGGGACCCGTTGCTACAATAATCGCTGGAAAAAAATTCACATGCGGAGCAGTTTTGGGAATTTTTGGATGAAATCATATATTCTCCGAATTTAAATATTTTTAGGTCTATTTGTTTGAAAAAATAAAATTAACCTAATACAAAAAAAAATTAATTTGATAAAGTAAACACAAAATACAAATTTAGCACAAAAACGAATTAAGACAATCAAATCAATTATACATCTTTAGATTTACATCGTTTCCCATTGGAGCAAAAAACATATTTACACCCCCCGGATGTGTAAAGGGGATGTAAAAGTGGCTTTACACCCCAGAAAATACACCTCCCCACTGTGGATGCTCTTAGTGATACTTATCTTTTGAAAGTTGGACAAAGTTCCAACTTTGAATCAACATCCCCACTAACGAAAACAAAGAGCATATATAATTACTATTTCATTGAGTTTTATAGAATGAAGTAAAATCCAAGTGAAAATCTTAATTTTGTCGTGCTAGTTTTTTTTTCTTAAAAATGGAGCCTAAAAAAAGGAGACTGGTTAGAGAATTATATATAAATCACAAATGGACTTGACCCTACACCACTTGTCCAAGGTTTAATATATGTTTAACAAGCACTAAGACGTTCTTTGAGTAATGCGCTTATGCCAGCTTCCTCTTGTACTAGAAGTTTTCTATTTTCTGTGGAATTTGCCGTTTGACCAGAAACATATTGCCATTCAAAAATCAAGTGCTTCAGTGCGTCTGTGACTTTATAAGCATGGTGGTAAATTTAGCGTTGGTTTGTGAGTGATTTTAGATAGACTATAATTATTTTTGGAAGCCTGTATTACTTGGACTTAAATCCACATTTGTTGATCACATTGCTAACTATTGAATTATAAGGAACTTTTAGTCAGTACGTTTATCTAGTGTTCTAATTTGTTGTATTTTTTTTTCTTTTAATCTTTTGAAGTGTTGTCACCCAGGACTACAAGTAATAAACTAAACATTTTTTTTTTTTTGGTAAAAAAACTTGAGTTTTTCTATTTAAACTCCACACTTTTCTTTGTTCACCCCAATACTTAAAATCATTAAGCTCTTAAGTTTTATTATTGTGTAAAAAGACAAAAAAAAAGGTCATCCAACTTAATACTTAACCCTAGTACATCTATACACACACCCCACCACTCTTCATATTAAATTTTAAAAAAAAACACAAACTCATTTGCACCCTATTGCTAGATTACTCATCTTTCAATCTAAGAAACCTATTACACTCTCATCTTCTCTTTACAAACTCTAAATTGGGATTGTGAGAGTAATCATGTCTAGAAAGGGAGGGAGTGGATATGACCAATTCCCCTAGCTTTGCTTTCCTTCCTCACCTCTCTCCTTCTCTTTCTTTTATTAACAGATTTCCTCCACGCCCATGGCCCAACACTTCTGCTTGCTGTTTTTATTTATCTCCTAAATTGACATAATAATGCCCTCAATAATATAAACGTAGTGTTTACTGCATCCATGTACAACATATATGTAATAAGAAAATATACATCAAAATACCATGTGCCGGATCCGTTTTCCAGAGCAAAACAAAATTATTGATGAAGTGGAGTCAAGCAAATCATGCTGTTCGGAACATAAGATGTTGTGTTTGTCTTCATCAAAACTTGGAAAGTGCTCAGGTAAAGTGGAGTCAAGCAAATCAAATATCACCCTCCACTGATTTTGCAATGGTGATGATCCCAAAAAGTTGTAAAGCAGTACATCCTACAAGAACGAACAAACCAAATATATATATTTCAATCACATCGACAATATCAGCTGTACATAGTTCTGCATAATTTAATAAATTTGCAACAAATCTCTTTTCAATGTCTGATGTGAACCTTACAATAATAATCGTTTGAAGACAAAGCCAAAAAGATTTCCAGAAAGATAAAGAAAAACAATTGGAATAGTCTTGTAGTGGCAGGAGAATTATTGTGGATCACAACACAAATATATGAAAATCCTCAATGGTAATATATATGTTTTATAGAATTAAACAAACTAAATAAGTAAATGTTGTAATGACCTGAAATTCAAGGCCCTTGCTCTCCAATATAGTAAGAACAAGAGCTCGCTTTGCAACTTGATTGGAAATTTCGTTCCGAGCATGCTTATCACGTACCAAAATAACCTGCTCCGCTCCAAAGCCAACTATATTTCCATGAAAAGTATCACTACTTTCAAAAATCTTCATGATTATATTCTCATTTTTTACAGGTTCAAGCAAAACTGGAGCTTCCCCACATATTGGACTGGTTTCAGGTTTCAATTTATCAATAGATTGGGGGAAGAAATGGTAAAGTAGATCAATTATGCTCTGTGATAACTTCAGTATACCATCATGCATACGGAAGTTTTGAGACAAATGAAACATTTTTGAGATTTGTCCTTTGTCTTCTCTTTCTTCGTGTTTATCTCTTTTTGATTCCAGTACGAATTCCTTGTAGAACATGTGTCGTATATCTTGGAATCTAAAATCAATACCCCTTGCAATTGCCTGTGCAGTATCACCAGAAAAAACAAAACCCTCTTCAACATTACTGCAAACGTGTTTGAAGAGTCTAATCTGATTGACTGTTAGATCCTGAACCTCATCAATATATACAAAATCCATTTCATGACCCTTGTACTTTTCACGTCTGAGTCGACGGTGAATATCATTAACAAAATCAGTGACATCAAATTCAACATTTTTCTTTTTCTTTTTTTCATAAACCAGAAATATATCATATATCATCTCCCTCTTCTCCTTGCTCAGATTTGACGCCCGGCCCTCTGAACGTTGGACATAATCTCCTCGACTGAGTTTTCCATCACCTGCTTCTGTGACTCCCAGGCCGCCTTTGATATGAGAGATAATCTCTGTAAATACTTTAGAAGGATCAAGCTTCTTTGTTAGCTGTATATTAAAATGAGGCCAATAAGAAGTGCTGAACCTCGCAAGATTGACCTCCTTTTGTCTTAGAACCGTCTGCAGCGCAACTGATCTTGAACTTGGCCGAGGTTCTGAGGTGTCAAGGAATCTTTCAAAGAATGAGTTACCTAGGGTTCCATCAAGCATCATCAAGAACTTATGGAATGTTATGAAAAGAGGATAACAGTTGGGCGGAATATCAAGAAAAGAATCTGGGATATTGTTGAACTGGGCTTCTTCATCCTCAAAATCAATGCTATCAGTCGAACTGCATTCACCTGAATGGTTTCCCCCAGAAGAAAAACTGAGGACATACAAGTTATGTTAATATCAATATATACAATTATTCATCTTCAAGTGGCACATAAGAAGTATGACAATTAAAGAGCAACATCAAGACCAAGAAAGAAGATGCAAACTTTAACCTAGATGACCAAGAAGCATGGTATTATAGTACACATACATGCATGAACAGTTAGTTTGAAGCTTCCATAATTTGTCCTCAGAGACAGAAAATACTAATGATATAATAAATCATTATAATGACTAGTTTTTTTCAAACGATTTTCCTTATATATAGCTCAAACATTTACTTACTAATTACAAATAGAACTTTCCTTATATATACAGGTACTATACTATATTATTATACACGTAGATAATAGGAAATAAATGGAAAATATATATTTATGATGGAACAGAAAGCAGCAATCTTTGCATCTAGCAGTGCACGTCATTCAGAAAAATATTTTTTTCTAAACAGGTAATGTAAGAAGCAGCTAACATCTATTTGTCGAACAATCCTCGCACCTTTTCAAGTGTAAAACATGTTGCTTGACGGCAAAACAGAGTTTTGCACTCACTGTCACCAAAAGCTGGCGCAAGACACACATATTAGCACCAGTAGGACTCTGCTCAACCTTGTTATTATTCGGAAAAACATGCGAGAGTGCATTCTCAACACCATAGAATCCTTCCTCTGCAATACGTTGCTGCTGTTCTTTCTGACATAATTTCATTGTAAGAACTGTTGTCTTCCCGGTGCCTGAGCGTCCCAGTATAAATGTACTTCTATTATAACGGACGATCTCCATTTCTTGATCTGTAAGTTGAAAGGGGAGATCCAGTTCTCTACCTTCACTGTCAGATAGCAAGAAGTTTGCCACTCCAGATGATAAGGAGTAGAATTTCATCAGTAACAAACTCTCACTAACATTTGATTTCTCAACATAACTTCTATCTGCTGAAGAGTCACCAAGTAAATAACTTGGGGTTTTTTTGGTGATGCTTAAATCTTCAAACCGGGCAACATCCAGAGCGGGGGGCCAGCTGGCCGGAATTTCCAAATCACTGCTCATGAAAGACAAACCAGCAATAGTCTACTTAAAAAGCAAAATTTGAAGATGAAACATTTGTATCTTTATATGATTCCAAACAGGAAACACAGTATAATTTCAGGCAAGATCAATTCAGAAATACTAGGATGACAAACAACATACCCGTCCAGACATTTCTTTCTGCAGAGACTGATAAAACCATCTGTGTATGTTTTAAATATACAGTCTAATTGATCAACCAATTTCTGGACGTTCAACAGATCAGGCAATATATCCCAGATCTTCAACACTTGCACGTATCTCCTATCTTTTTCAATGTCAGTAGTGCAAACAATATATATACCTTCGACCTTAAATTTCTTCCAGATCATTGAAGATCTTTTACAATTCTTTTCTACATTTCTTTTATTGGGTCTCCATCCACTCGAAAGCTTAAGCAGAAGAAACAGCAATGACATCTTCACTCGGAATGACTTCAGTTTTTTGAATGATTTCAAAAAGTTGTCACTGAAAAGGACCTAGGAAAATTCAGAGGTTGAATATTTATAAGTGTCATCGCAAATGTTTGGAAAATAAGAGGAGAAAAAAGAAAGAGGATTAAAAACATAAATCTGAGAAAACAAAATTGTACCTTCCATCTAGCACTTTTGTTATTGTCGATTGCTTTCCATATTTTGATGTTAGGAGTTATATTGATTAAGAAAACCATAAGGAGAGATGGCTGAATGCCATTGGAGACTTGAAGCTCTTTCGATGCTTTAACTTTAAAAGAACGATTGGACACTTCAGTGACTATCAGAAATGCCCATGATTTCTTTGACTCCTGTATATCTGAAATACTTTCGGGTTTAGCATCTGACAGTAAAAAAACATGTCCAGGCTGAGTTTTATATGTTTCCTTGCAGGAATCACTGGACATCTTTCTCCAGTAATCAACCTCGACATCATATAGCTTCTTTCCATATGGCTTCGATTCTTCTATAGCAGTTACTTCACGGAATGGTGCTCTGTCCAGAGTTTCCATACTAGAATGTAACTGAGCTCGAGTTTCGTCTAGTAATGGATATGAAAAAGACCCAAAATAATTCTGAACCGAATGCAATGATTCAGTGACAAATCAAATAATAAATGTCAGTCCTTAAGTAGAAGCAAGAGTGCTAGCAGCCACATGATAATGTCTCAAATGAAATATTTTGTACACAGGCTCATAAAATTTAAAACACAGAAGAAGATTATCATGTGTAATTCAGAGCATGATGTTTTCAGAAGCATGCATACTTTATATTCAAATCAACCTTATCAATGAACAAATGCATAAAGAATTCCTTGCAAAATTTAAGTAGTAATTGGTTCCGATTTATACATAGTTAATAATTTCTCTTTCAGAGTCAAGAACCACTGAAGAATTAAAGTAGGCTACATGAGCAATTAGACTAATGAACTCCTACTTAATGAATTGTTGATGAAACAAAACAAAGAGAAAGACGACAATTTGGGAGATTATAGAGCAAGTGAATACCTTGTGCTTGTAAAGATTGTCGTCAACGATATCTTCAAGAGACCAAGAAAGCAAAATGTCGGAGAAGCTATCACTCTCAGAACTTTCCATCATGTACTCCTCACACTGCATATACTTCGATCAAACATATTATATATCTATTACAATACAACGATATATGTGATGTAACTTCTACTCTCTTTTTTTTTTTAACTTTTTTTTCTTTCGTAGATCTTCTTTTAAAACTGGTTCATTACATGCATGTAAAGATTAAACTCATGCATGTCAGATCAGAAAGAGTACTGGGTAAGCAGAAAATAAAAATAAAAACAAAAATCAGAGAAAATGTGTCTTACATGAATCAAGAACGATAATCTGATGCAGCTTCTTTTTCTTTTCTTTTTTTGCCTTGAAAAAACTTTGTTTTCTTTTGTTTGGTTCTTTTCTTTTTCCTTCAGCTTCTTCAATTGTTGTTTAAGTTTTTGTTAATTGGAATTATTAATTAGAAGTGCTCAGCCTTGGTGAACGTGAAGAAGTGGAAAAGTTGGATGAGAAAAGTCTGACAAAATACGTGGAGAAGTTGAAGGGGTTTTAGTTTTTCCATGCGACTCCTGTTCTTCCACTTTTTATGCTATGCTGCAGCATCAGTTCGGTATGGGATTTAATTTCCAAATTTGAAGATTATAGGTCTCGGATACTCTCCTCGCGTGAACACAAAAATCTTGTCCGTTCAAATTCATCATGCGGCTCTCAATTTATTGAGTAGAGGACATTTGAATTTGGGGTTTCCTTTTTCTTTTTTAATACCGGCGATAGTCGAAATTATCAAGGTGCTATTGTGTTCGAACTTGAGATCATTGATTTGCAAATCAATACCCTTTTTCCCATAATTACAGGTGTCAAACCCGGCACATTTAACCAATTTAATAAATGAACAACGGGCAGAGCCCGTCTATTTATGAAAATCATTAAGTCCATCCAAAAACCACAGCCCTAGTCCATATGTGACTGGATCAAGCTTGGGTAGGGTCACTAAGGCCATCTCCAACCCTTAGACTCAAACCCAAAATATCCCTCCAAACCTCTCTCAACCCAAAAAAATGAAGGACTCAAAATTTGAGAAAACCCAAATATGGGTCCAAGTATTGCCCAGACCCAAATTTTTTTGTGGAGCTCACTTTCATGTCAAACAGCCTCATGTGCAAAGATTCCTTCCGTGGGCCCCACCTTTTTTTTTGGTTGCTGCCATCTTGTCTTCCACAAGCGCCACTTGTCAAAGCCCCATTGAGTTGCCATTGAATCTGTTTTTTTTATATATATACATATAACTTAAATCAAAGATGGGGATTAAATTTAAGCTATTTTAACGGTAAAAAAAAAAAAATCTAATGGCTGAAATTTAAATCCAACAGTCAAAATAATATTTTAAATTAATCTAAATTAGATCCAACCCCAAAACTCACTCCAAACTCTATAAATACCCATTCATTTCTCAAATAATTTACCAAAAACATTTTATCTATTTCTCAATTTATTTTTCATTTGTCAATCTCATAAATCTCCTTTCATTCTTGTTGAAGATGTCCACAAAATCTCCTTTCATTCTTCTTTTAGAATTATGTTGTGTGTTTTCTTTTGGAACAAAATTATATTTGCGGAATTTTAATTTTTTTAGGTCAAATTGTTCAAAAAATTTAATTATGAAGTTATTTAAAAGATTGAATGAAGAAAAGTTATCCATTAAAAAAAAATTAGACTTAAACCATTCTTAAACAATTTAATAAAGTTGCGAACCAAAATTTGAGTCCGTAGGATTGGGAGAAAAAACAATTTGAGTCCGGGCAAAACCCAAATAGTCACTTTTTGGAGGGGGGAATTTGGATTTAGCCCCTCATGGATTGGAGAAGGCCTAACTAGGCCAAATTTCGCCATGAAAGCTTTTGTCGTCAACTTCGTCACAAAAGACTCGTCGAGAAGGTCTATCGACAAAACAGTGACTTCGCTTGGAAAGATGAACCCTTAACCCGCAAAATGTTTGACCTTACCTAACAACCAACACAACTGCTATGAGATTTTGCGTAATGCAATCCTTGGATAAAGTTAAAAAAAATTCAACAAAACTATATATCTATTAATATATAAACAATCTAATTGTAGAATCGAAGTGAAGCAGCTACTCTATTACACTCGAACTTCCTCAATCAAATTAAAACACGAGTCGTTGCAGTCCATACTCAAGCTTAATTGATTGTACCACTTGAAAATGATGTGAACCATAGACGTGCATAATATATGCAGAACCATTTGATGGAAAACGTCTGATATACTGACTTGAAATCATGGCACCTGTTGGAGAACAATCTAAATAAGAACTCTAATAATATATATGATAACAGAATTTAATTACAACTAAACCATATCAATCGAATTGTAAAATAAATCCAACTGAAATTCAACAATACGATAAAACAATATGTAAATAAGTAGGGGAAGTGAACTGATTGATAGAGGCTTGCAGATGCAATGTTCACATACAGAATTTCACCCCTACACTCATACCTTGTAATTCATTAGGCATTTGTCCCCATGATACAACTATCAATAAAAAAATATCCAAAACTTGGATTTTGAACTCCGGCGAAATATGTTTATTTTTCTCTCTCAATACAGTGACTGATTTTGTAGGTGATTAATTCAATGCCTATTTATGTATTCGAGTTGATTATTTAAAGACATTCATATAACCTTGGCTAAAAGTCACTTTTGGTCCCTATAATTTGTACTTCAACCACTTTTGACCCTATAGTTTCAATTCTGTCAATTTTGACCCTATAGTTTCATATTTGTAGCAATTTAAAGACAAATTAGTATTCCTGTCAATTTCTTCAATGGTGTAAGGGGCAATTTCTTCAATCCAAAATCCTTGGGCATAAAAGCTCATATGAAACTCCCCTAATTTCATATTAGGGCTTGAAATTGGTCATTGGGTTTAGGGTTCTTCAAAAAGTGGGATTAGTGGTTGAATTTCGAGCCTTAATATGAAATGGGGAGAATTTCAAACAAGCTTTTACGCTCAAGGGTTTTGGATTGACCAAATTGCCCCTTGCATTGTTAAAGAAATTGACAAGAATACTAACATGTCCTTGAATTGCTACAAATATGAAACTACAATGGCAAAATTGATAGAATTGAAACTACACGGTCAAAAGTAGTTGAAGTACCAAACTAAAGGAACCAAAAGTGACTTTTGCCCTATAAGCTTTATGAATAGTTGCAACTGCCGTAAAAAGATATACAAATATGATTTTTGAAATTCTAAAAAGGAATTCGAATTTAACCAACAATACCTACCATTTTTAGAAGACAAATGTTTAAATTCCTCATTTGAAGTTACCTATCCCAACAAATTCTTATATATATATATATATATATCTATATCTATATATATAAAGCAAAAGGTAGAGAATGGTGAAACATTCAAAATACCATAAAATGTCATTGGTTAATTCAAACATTAAGAATTAAAATTATTAATTAAATGAGAATAATATGGTAAATTCACATTTTTTTCATATTAAAAAAAATTAAAGTTAAAAACAAAATCAGATAATAACTCCTACTTTTATGGAACATAACTACCCATATTATTTTTTCTTAATTCAAAAAATAAAATAAAACCAATTGGCACATGCGTGAGCGTGTGCCAAAAGGCTAGTATATATAAAGCAAAAAATAGAGAATGGTGAAACATTCAAAATACCAGAAAATGTCCTTGGTTAATTCAAACATTAAGAATTAAAATTATTAATTAAATGAGAATAACATGGTAAATTCACTTTTTTTCACATTAAAAAAATTAAAATTAAAAACAAAATCAAATAATATGTCCTACTTTTATGGAACATAATTACCCATATTATCTTTTCTTAATTCTAAAAATAAAGCCTCGTAAATACAAACGTGGGTTAAGTCGGTTGATCAGAGTAGTGAATTCGCCCAATTGCACCCAAGGCCGAAATCTTGATTACATTTGATTAAATTAATTAATTATATAATGGGCCATGCCCGAGCCAACTCAAGCCCATTTCAACTTAACATTGTTGTGCTCAACCAATGTGGGACTAAGGAAAACCTTAGTTTTCTATTCAAACTTGAACAACACCTACCATTTTATAAAATCTAAACCAATTAGTGTGCCACCAATATGCAGAGTATTCAGGTCATAGTGCAATCAAACCCAATAACCAGCCAACAAATTTCAAGTGATCAAATCCTAAATCAAGTCTAGAATCCACGGTTGCACCTATTGCCTAAATTAAGTGCAAATGCCTTTCTTATTGCCTTTCATGCCTAAGCTTTCAACGAGAGACAGAGAGTACATTCAAATGGATGCATTTGCATTTTCCAAATACATAAAAATGTTATAAAGTGGCCTCTTTAAGAACAAAACTCAACATTTTGGATGAAGACAACCTCGTCCAAATGTCAAAGAATCAGAATTACCATACCATTGACATGTAAATCATGGGCTAAGTCAGTTGACCAGAGTAGTGAGTTCGCTCCCTTTTTTAAATGAAAACCAAAACAAAATATACCCCGTTCTAGTTAATGGTTTCTTTTTATAGAAAATTTGGCATAAGTACAATTATGGTGAGAGATGTTGGGTGCAATCCACATAGAAGTTGTTTATCTTTTTTGATTAAAAGTGATAGTAATTTTATTGATAACGTAACATAGAAAAAAAAAGTACAGAGTAGCCGCAATGCCTAATATGAGTACAATATCTCCAATGACCAAACACAAAAATAAATTGGTTTGATCTAGAGAGAATTACACATGCCAAAAAAATCTAAAACATCCAATTCGGCAGACTAAAGCACATGTACTCAGATCTACAATACAGATCCACCGCGCAACAGCAGTAACGACAAATCTGCATCAAAAAGTCGAACACTAAATACAAACATTAGTAAACTCCTATTGAGTTTCTGAGAATTATTAGACTAAAATACACACAGAAACAAGGACACCGCACCACATCCTCTCTAGCAAACCAAAGAGACTCGTAGCACCAACATGGCTAAACCTCTTATTTTGCACAAGCAAAACCCGATCCCACACAAACCAGCAAC